CAATTTTGTGTAGTCAGTGCAGTCTTGAACGAACAGAAATCCGTCTACCTATTAATCCTGAGTCCTGAGTTTAAAGGTGTGTGCCACCACTGCCTGGCTTCTATGGCTAACTAGTATGGCTGCTATGCTATTTTGATCTCCAGTGGCTTTAATAAATTATAAACTATATATCACCACACCTGACAACCCTCACAGCAATGCACATGAAATTAAATAAATTATTAAAAAAATAAAATTTAGAAAAGAAGCCCAGCTTTGAAACTGCTAATCTGCCTGACATCAAGCTCACCTTCATCAGGCTGGGTATAGTGATGCATGCCCTTAATCTTAGCACTGGAAGGCAGAGACAGGTGGGCCTCTGTGAGTGAGAGCCCAGCCTGATCTACAAAGTGAGTTATAGGACAGCCAGGACTGTTACACAGAGAAACCCTGTCTTTAGAACAAACGAAAAGATCACCTATGTCCAACCTTGATTTATTACTGAGATGAGTTACTGGAATATCACAGTGAACTCTGTACTAGCTCAGCATGTACACCATCAACTGATTTCCTACCTAAGAGCTCAACGACATGTGATGACGAACACACAGTGCTAGATTTGTTGGATGCCCATACAGAAAAACAAATTCGTGGTCATGGGTTTAAAACAGGAAAAAAAAAGGGGGGGAGGGGGAACAGGTAGAGGGTCAGAGAGATGGCTCAGTGGTTAAAAGCACTGGCTGCTCTTGCCAAGGACCAGAGTTCCATTCCTTGCATCCATGTTGGGTGTTGGGCCGCTCACAACCTCCTGCAACTCCAGCTTCAGGGCGATCTAAATCTCTCTTCTGTCTCCGTGGGCAACCACACACACATAAACATAAAATAAACATTTTTAAACTTTTTGTTTGAAAGAGGGTCCCTATGTAGCCCAGGCTGGCCTGGAACTCTTGGTCCTGCTGTCTCAGTCTTCTCTGTGGTAGGATTATGTGTTTGCAGCGCCATGCCTTTCTTTCCTTTTCTTTGTTTGAGATAGGGTTTCTCTGGGTAGCCCTGACTGTTCTGGAACAAATGCTGTAGACCTGGCTGGCCTTGAACTCAGAGATCCGCCTCCCTTTGCCTCCTGAGTGCTGGGATTAAAGTGGGTGCCACCACTGCTTGGCTCCTAATTGTAACTGTTTAATACTTAGGTTTACTAGAGTCATTGTTGAAAAGATTACCATTTGCCTTGAGGCCTTTATTGAGAATTAGTTGTCCATGTGAGTTATTGCACCTGCTGCTCAGACCCAAATTCTCGGAGTCATCTTGTCTTTTTCTCACTTGCTACATATCTAGTCCATCACTACATCTGACTTTAATGTCAACATATTTTGTTCCTATTGGCACACCATTGGCTAAAACCATTGGCTGCATCACCGTTTTGCCAGTGTAGCTGGCAGTCAGTTGGCCAGAGCAGGAGAGTGTTTGCATAGGGTCTGTCCTAGTTAGGGTTTCTATTACTACAGTCAAACACCAGGACCAAAGCAGGTTGGGGAGGAAAGGGTTTATTGGGCTCACACTTCCACATTGTGTCCATCACTGAAGGAAGCCAGGACAGGAACTCAAACAGTGCAGGACCTGGAGGCAGGAGCTGATGCAGAGGCCATGGCAGAGAGCTGCCTACTGGCTTGCTCCTCATGGCTTGCTCAGCCTGCTTCCTTATAGAACCCAGGACCACCAGCCCAGGGATGGCCCCACCCACAGTGGGCTGGGCCCTCCCCCATCAATCACTAATTAAGAAAATACCCTACATATTTGCCTAGAGTCTGATAATTTGGAGGCATTTTCTCAGTTGAGGTTCCCTCCTCTCAGATGACTCAAGTTTGTGTCAAGTTGATGTAAAACTAGCCAGGCCAGGGTCTGCTGTGGTTGTGGTTGTGTAGTGGTCTTGGCTGAAATCATCCTCAGAGTATTCATAGGTCTGCTGCCTGGGCTGCAGGATCTGAACTTCTCAGGCACCCTTCCTCCTCTGCCTCTGTAAAGCTTTCTTGATTTACTCCCTCTTTATGGAACCTCAAAGGAGCCAAACTTCTGACACAGAAGTTGAAGATCATGACAGCAACAACTTGGTAATATATTCACATCCATTTTCAACAGCTGCAGACATCTTCCTGCTGCAAGGTCACAGCTGTTTGCATCAGGAGTTGGTTAAGAACCTGGGTGCATTCCTTCTCACTCAGAGTCCCTCGTGGATGTTAAAGTGGATGTTATGGGATCCCCAACCAAAGTAAACTTGCAAATTTGTCTTTATTTAATAACCACAGTGGACTGAATGGTGAAGCCTTCTAAAAGATACATCCATGCCCCTGGAACTTGTATTACCTTTGATGGCAAAGCTGTGAATGTCCCTTAATATGGTAAAATATGTGGCTGAGGGTTGTGGCTCAGCAATTGAGAGCACATGCTGCTCTTACAGCAGACCCAGGTTCTGTTCCCAATACCTACTGCAGACACTTCACAACTGGCCGCAGCTCTAGCACCAGTGATATGCAACAGCTCTGGCCTTGTGGGCACCTACACGAAAGTTCACACACACATATGCACATAATTAAAAAAAAAAAAACAAAGGCGTGACTGGGTTGTTGATCTCAGATAAGGAACTTATCTTAGTTTACCCAGATGATCTCTCAATACAATTGTGGGTATCCCAGCGTGATGGTCCACCTTTTAATCCAGGCACTCAGAGGCAGAGGCAGGTGGGTCTCTGTGAGTTCAAGGTCAGCCTTGTCTACATAGTGAGTCTAGGTCAGCTAGAGCAACATAGTGAGACCCTCTCTCAAAAACAAAACAGAGATTAATGTGCCCTAGATAAAAGTGTGATTGATGGTAGGGACAGAGAGTGGCATAGGCCTTCTTCGAGTCCAGAGATGCCTGGGCAGCCACTATGAACTGGCAGAGACAAGGAGTGTATTGTCTCCTAGTGCCTGTGGAGAGAACAGTGCCCTGCCAGTTTTAGACAAGCAATGACTAGAATTGCAAGAGAATGTATTTTTCCCACATAGCCCATCTCATTTATACTCATTTGTTAATGTGCCTCAGGAAGCTAGTGCTGGTGAGTATCAGAGCCTCAGAAAACCTTTGCACCTACTGTCACCTGATGGTCACTGCCAGATGGCCCATTAGTGGAATTACTGGTCTCTAGAAAACCAGTAAAATTATCTCTTTAGGGACTGGAGAGGTGGCTCAGTGGTTAAGAGCACTGACTATTATTTTTGAGGTCCTGGATCCAATTTCCATCACCCACAAGGGGGCTATAACTCTAGCACCAAGAGAGCCAATGCCCTCTTCTAGCTTTTGTAGGCAGGAGGATTTTGTGTTTGAATTCTAGGCCAGCCTGGATCATAGGATGAAATCCTGTCTCAGTCACACACACACACACCACACACACACACACACACACACACACACACACACACACACACCCCAAAAACAATCAAAAAACCCTTAAACAAATATACATTTCAAAAACAATCAAGTCTCCCACGTGGATAGCAAATGTCCCTTGTTAAGGGGGTTGGGATAATAATGCCTCAAACAGCTTGTTTGAATACCTAAACCAGGTACTCAGAGAAGGAAGGCAGGGCCATCCTCTGGCTCAGCAAACATGCAAACAGAAAATTCAAACGAAGGCAGACAGATCTCTAAGTCTGAGGCCAGCCTGGTCTATACATCAAGTTCCAGACTAGTCAGCCAGGGCTAGATTGTTAGACCCTTTCTCAAAATAAAATAAAGGAGAGAGGAAGGGGGGAAGGAAGGAAAGAAGGAAAGAAGGAAGGGAGGGAGGGAGAAAGAAGGAAGGAAATTGACAAAACTGTAGCACAAGGAGGTGTTTCAATCCTCGTAGGGCCTGTACTGTGGCCTGTAACGCTGTCTTCAGACAGCTTTAGCTTTTCAGGGCCCTTCATGTTCTGACCTCCCTACTCCGTGCTATCAAATCAGTGGTGGTGTCTGCGGTCCTCAGAACTATTTTCAATTGGAATCAGTGGGCAGCATAGTCTAAAAAGTGTGTCTACATGTGTGTATGTATATGAGCATTGTGTGTGTGTGTTCATGCTTGTATCTGTGTGTATATATGCATATGACCATAGTATATATGTGTGCTTATGTGTGCCTACATGTGTGTATATACATATGTTTGTATGTGTGTGTACTCTAGCTGAATGATAGATTCCTTGAGTTTTTGTCTTAAAGGAAAAAGGATCCCAGCTACTGAAGGTCCAGGACAAAAGCTCTACTCTGTGGATGCACAGGAGAATGTAATTTTGTACAAAAATACCTTCTAATTAGTAATGTAAGCTTGAATAAAATCAGCATGAGGCTTTTTTTTTTTTTTTTTTTTTTTTTTTAGACAGAGTTTCATTCTTTAGCCTAGGTTGACCTAGAATTCATGTGTAGTGTGTGTGTAAGTGCCTATATGCATTGCATGTGTGTGTGTGTGTGTGTGTGTGTTGGCATGTGTGTGCACAGAAGCCAGCAGCAGGCTTAAGGTGCCCCTTTATTAGGCAAGTACAAACTCTCACTGAGAGAGGGACCCTACCAATCTAATTCCATTCTCAAGGTAGACATGGACATGGAAAGCATATTCCCTAAGCCAGTGATTTGGAGCAGCCTAATGGGATTCACATAATCAATTGAACCTGTTGAAAATGAGTGTGTTACTTGATATTTTCTAGAAAGTTCTGCCACATACATCAGCAGTCAGTGCTTTTCCAGGTCATGTACCTTTGGTGCACAGATCCAGAAAGTAGTGTTGAGCTCATCTATGCAATCAACAACACTGCACAGTGAATTTAAGTGTGACCACTCTCAGCTGTGGGCATCTGGCTTCAGGGTAGACATGAGTGCGGGTTAGGCTGAGAGCCTACAGGCCTGCAGCTGACTTCAATCCAAGACTGATGCGCTGCAGATGGCAATCCCACGAAACGCTGCCATCTTTGGCCAAGCCTTTAAAATCACAGCAAACCGGGGAGAAGAGGAGAGTGAGCTCGGGCCGTGTAAGATGGAGATCCATTTGCCTAGTGTGCCAGTGCTGGAAATCTTCTCCTATCTGGATGCCTTCAGCTTGCTCCAAGCTGCCCAAGTGAACAAGGTAAAAACTTCACTTTTTACTGTTGTCCAATTGACCAGCTCCACACCTGAACTCCTGCAAGTTATATATTCCTACAGAAGGACCCATTGGCCTTACACACACACACACACACACACACACACACACACACACACACACACACACCATGGAATTGGCTATCCCAGCACACACTCACACAGCCTCCTTCAGACCTGTCCGTTCAGTTCTGACACTAGCATCTCGGTGGCTCATCTGTTTCTCTTATGAATGGCAGTGTGAAACTCCAGAATAGCAAAGGGATACGTTGAAGGCATATGGGCTAGCACCATTCACTGTGAAGACCTCAATTCCTGTTAAATGAGTCAGGAGTGCTGGTGGACCCCTGTAATGAGATACAAACAAGAGGATCAGGAGTTTGGGTCATAGGCAATTAAATGGGGAATTTAAAGCCAGCCTAGGCTACTAGAGACCCATTGCAAAACAATGATGGCAACGCCAAAATTCTGTTAAATGAAAGCAACAAGCTGGTGTGTGGGTGTAGGCTGCTTTTGTGTAAAGCCCTTGAGGGTCCCATGTCAAAGGTTTAGAGACTGGCCCTCCATCCTCCAAGCTCTCACAGGTGACTTGTGTTTGCTTGGGGTAGCTCTTCCCAGGCTAGCTGGGCCTGTGGGCCTGGAGAGCTGGGGTGAAGTTTGATGAACCTGTGTAGGCCCAGCACAGAACAAATAGGGAGGACTATTGGCTGAGACTCCTTTTTCTCCTGTAGAATTGGAATGAGCTTGCAGACAGTGATTTCCTCTGGAGGTAAGGAAAGGGGCAGGGGCGGGGGTGGAGAGCTCCTGAGTCTGCACTGGACCTCTGGTGTGTGAGATAGACCCAGGGAGATGAATGTGATGGAGACAGTGGCTCTGAGCTCTCTGGGACTGTGCCTTGCAGGAAGCTGTGTCTGAAGAGATGGTTCTATCCAGACATGCTTCTAAAGTGGAGGGGCAAACAGAGGTGGAAGCTGTTCTTCCTTCAGAAGATAAGGCAAGAGCACTCTTTGTCCCAGGCAAAGCCAGAAGACATCATCTACAGAGAAATGCCCGGGGACTTTGGTATGGGCATGGATGTCTTAGAAGAGACACCCACTCGATATTTTCCCCATTCTATGCAGTCTTATATTCTCATTTAATAAAAGAAGGGAGCCTGGCAGTGGTGGTGCACACCTTTAATCCCAGCACTTGAGAGGCAGAGGCAGGTGGAATTCAAGGCCAGCCTGGTCTATAAGAGCTAGTTCCAGGACAGCTAGGACTACACAGAGAAACACTGTCTCAGAGTGAGAGAGGGTGCACAAGAGAGAAAGGGAGTAAAATTTAATGGGCTTGGGTCTGGTCCTGGAGCCAACCCTGGCGTGGGAGACCCAGAGTGATTCTCAGCGTCATAAAGCTAGCCCAGCCCTAATACTCCATTTCCCCAGAGACTTCCTACCCTCCCAGAATACAGAGAGAACTGAATGGGGGGAATTACTAAATAGCACAAGCTTTACTATTTACCTTTCACTAAAAACCTCCTTGCAACAGTTTTCTGATGGGAAGATACTTCATATTTTTTACATTATTTTTAGTGTGTACATATGTGATGTATGTATTGTATTTACATACCACATCAAGTGTATGTCTGGCCTGGAACTCAGAATGTAGACCAGGCTGGCTTTGGGACTGGACTGGAGGTACACCACCACATCTGTCTTTTTTTTTTTTAAGAAAGGGTGTCATGTACTCTAGGCTGACCTCAAACTCTCCATGTAGCAAACAGCAATGACCTTGAACTTTGGGTCTTTCTGTCTCCAAATGAGTTCTGGGATTAGGGTTTATGGGATTCTAGGAATAGAACCTAGCACTCCAACGACCGAGTTACATCCCTTGCCCCCAGTACCCATTTTGTATCTATAGAAACAGATAAAGAGTAAAAATACTTGGGCCAGTGGCCAACCTGTAGTTTGTTTGGCTAACTCCCCACCCTTTCCACAGCGGTTACCCAAGCCTTCCTACAAAGGGAGAGGGAATGGAAAGCTTACCTTTTCTAGTTTGTCTGTCACCCTTCAACTATCTAGTGTCCAAATACTGTTGGGATTTCTTTTCCTTGCAGGAACTCTGGGAAATGCGAGCTACCTCTCAGAGAGTGGCTTAACAGTGGACGGACAAGGAAAATCGGTGGTGTGTTTGGTAACTTCCATGACAAAGCTTACCACCTGGGATATTAGAAAGGTGAGTCTGGAGGAGGAGAAAAACTGAGCTGGATGGAACCCTGATCCTGAATTCACTTTTTCATTGTTGAGACAGGGTCTCCCTGTACAGCCCATGCCGTCCTGGAACTCCCTGTGTAGACTGACTTGCCTCTGCCTCCCAGTACTTGGGTTTAAGGTGTGCACCATCCATCACTCCTGGTTCCTCCCTCTTTTTTCTTAATTTATTCATTTTATGTGTATGAATGTTTCCCCCGAATATATAGATGTGCACCACATGTGTTCCCGAAGCCTGAGGAGGCCACAGGATGGAGTCAGATCCCTTAGAATTGTAGTTACAGTTGGCGGTGAGCTGTGGATGCTGGGCATTGAACCCAAGTTCCTTGCTGAGTCACCCTCCCAGTGCCTCTGATGTCTTCAAGTTTTCATTTTAGAGACCTTTCACAGACTCTAGGTTTACCAAAGGTATTTTGTTTTTGTTTCTTGAGACAGTGTTTCTCTGGGTAGCCCTAGCTGTCCTGGAACTCCCTCTGTAGACCAGGCTGGCCTCAAATTAGCAAGAGATCTTCCTGCCTCTGCCTCCCAAGTGCTGGGATTAAAGGTGTGCACAACTGCCTGTCTTACTTTCAGGTATTTTTTTTAAATACTTGTTTTTTATTTTATGTTGCGTGCCTGTGTGAGTTTGTGGCTGGTGGGAAGCCAGAGGCCAGAGAGTATTGGATTGTTACAGGAGACTGTGAAATGCTGTTTAGGCTCTGAGAGCCCAGTTGGGGTCCTCTGTAAGAGCAGAAATTGCTCTTAACTGCTCCAGTCCCTTACTCCAGGGTTTTGTTCTGAGGATGTTGTGAATATGGTTGCTTCCCTGGTAGCTCCTTCACTTTGTTTATTGATAATAGGAAGGCCACTGGTTTATCTTTGTTTCATCTTAATTTTGTAGCCTGTCAATTTGCTGGATGCTTAATCAGTCTTAAAGAGTTTTCTGGTGGAGTCTTCAGGATCTCTTAAGGACAGAATCAGTGTTTGCAAATAAGGCTACTTTAGCTTCTCTTCCTTCCTATCGACATCCCTTTGTTTGTTTCTGTTGGTTTATTGCTCTAGCTAAAATACCATGTGGTTTTAAGAGTAAAATAAGAGTGGAAAGTGTGGCTCTCCTTGTCTTTCTTATGTTTCTGGAAATGCTTTGAGGTTTTTTGTTTGGTCTACAGAGCAAGTTCCAGGATAACCAAGGCTACACAGAGAAACCCTGTTTCAAAAATCACACACACACACACACACACACACACACACACACACACACACAAACATACATTTGACAATAGTTTGAGAAACATTAGTGTTAGTTTTGTTTTGAAGGTTTGGTAAAATTGACCAGGGAATCAATCTGACCCTGAAAAAAATTTTCTAAAGATACTTACTATGTACACACTGTTCTTCCTGCGTGTCAGCAGAGGGCACCAGATCTCATTACAGATGGTTGTGAGCCACCATGTGGTTGATGGGAATTGAACTCAGGACCTCTGGGAGAACAGTCAGTGCTCCTAACCTCTGAGCCATCTCCCCAGCTCCAGCTCTGGGGCTTTTGTTCTTTCCCCCCCTTTTTTGTGTGTTTTGTGTGGTATACATACATGTGTACATTCCTGTTCATTTCTCAGTTTAATTTTAGTAGGTCATATACAACTAGAAATGTATCCATTTTTATTTTTCAATTTATTGAAAAAAATATTTTTAAGGTATGGTCTAATTGCTTCTGAATTTTGCTGATATCTGTCATAATGGCTTCCCTTCTGTAACTTTATCGATGTGGGTAATTTACTTTGTTTTTATTTTCATTTCACTAATTTCTAACCCATCTCTTTATTGTACATGTGTTTGTGTATGTATGTGTACATGCATGTGTACATACTCGAGTATACAAACCCATGGCATATGTGAAGGTCAGAGGCTAGCCTGTGGGAGTCGGCTCCCTCCATCATATGGGTGTCACGTAATTGAACTTAGATTATCAGTCTTGGTGGCAAGTGCCCTTACCTGCTGGCCCCTTCGCCTGGAGCTTAGTGATTCATTTATGTATAACTGAGGTTGGAGTGTTTTATTTCCCAGGCATATAGTTATTTTTGAGTTTTCTCTGAAAAAAGGTTTATTTTGAGACAAGGTCTCACTGTGTAGCCCTGGTTAGCCTGGAACTCAGATTCACCTGCCCCTGACTGTGGCTCATGATTTCTCCTGTCTCTGACCCTCTCTGATGCATTAATGCAGGAGCTTGGATCTGTAAACTTTTCTCTTGGGACTGCTTTCACTGTATCTCATGGTTTTTATATGTTGTGGTTTTGTCTTCATTCAATATTAGGAACTTTTTTACCCTTTTGATTTCTTCAGTGACCCCATTCATCAGTTTGATCTTCATGAGTTTGCATATGTTCTAGAGATCCTATGGCTGTTGGTTATCATTTTATTCCAGTATACCCTCTTACAATATTCACTGTACATGCTGCAATATTTGGATAGAGTGTTCTATAGATGTCTCCTAATTTTTAAATCTATGATGTCATTTACTTCAGTATTTCTGCTTATTCTTCTGTCTGGAGGCCCTGCTATTTGGTGAGAGGGGGTATTGAAGTCACCCAGTGCTATCGTGCTGGGATCGATCTGTGGCTTCCCAGGGGTATTTATTTTACCCCGTTGTTTGGTGCATATACTTAGAATTGTAATGTTCTCTTGGTGAGTTCTCTTGGTGGATCTTTCTCTTCTGACTAGTTTCAGCTTGAAGTCTGTTTTGTCAGATAGTTAAACACCTGTTTGTTTCTTAGGTCCATTTGCTTAAATTCCCTTTCCCATCCTTTTACTCAGGATAGTGTCTGCCTTTAATGGTGAGGTGTATCTTGGGAGGTTTTTTTGCTACAAGCTAAGCTTTGTTACCTGCTCTTGATCTCTTCAGTGTTTTTAATATCCTCTTAGTTTTAGCAGGTTTTACTAAAGAAATGTGTCAATTTCTTTCTGACCTTATAGGGAGACTCCCGTGGTACTAACACACTGATTTATCAAGCTGCGACTGGATCAATGTAAGGAACCCATGTAGGTGTTGTGGAAGCAAAGTTTGTGTGATTCTTGGATCTGCCAAACCTTCTTGGTGCCTGCCTGGGAGCGGGAGCTCTACCCTCCTGGGGATGGGGTAATTGACACAGCCTGTTTTTGCCATGATTGGTTCTATGGTAGTGTCTGCCAGGGATTGGTGTACCTTATCACAGGAGCTAAACAGAACAGAATGTGGCTGTCAGTGGGTTAGTTTTTCCCGGGACCTTCTTAAGCTGTGTGTCTTAGGGGAGGAAGGACAGTGGGGGCTATGACAGCATTGATGCAGTACCAGTACACCTGTGTAGGTGGAGAATCCGGGAAATCTCAGTTCTCTTCCCCCATCTGCTTTGTTAAAGATTGGAGCCCATATGCAGCTCTGGGAGAGGAATGGTAAGGACCATACTGGACACTCTTCACCCTAGTCCCTATGGGAAAGTACTCAGGACTGACCATGCATGAGGTTAAGGGCGGTACCCAAGGTTTATCTCCACATCATGATGCCAAATCTCCACTGTGCGCTCCCTGTTGGTTTGTGCAAGGGTTTCTCTTGTGTACTCTTGTGAGACAACCACGTGCTGAGACAGTATAGTAGAATGTCTAAGGGGTCCCAGGCAGGGGATGTACAGACTTCCACAATCCTAGAGCAGTGTATGGGTCCCAGGTATGGGGTGTGTGCAAGCTTCCTTACTCCCAAAGTAGTCTATGAGGTTCCTAGGCTTGGGGCATGCAGGCTTTCTCACCCCTAGAGCTGTGTATGGGGGGTCCCTGGTGTGGGGTGTGCAGGCTTTCTCACCCCCAGAGCTGTGTATGGGGGTCCCTGGTGTGGGGTGTGCAGGCTTTCTCACCCCTAGAGCTGTGTATGGGGGTCCCTGGTGTGGGGTGTGCAGGCTTTCTCACCCCTAGAGCTGTGTATGGGGGGTCCCTGGTGTGGGGTGTGCAGGCTTTCTCACCCCTAGAGCTGTGTATGGGGGTCCCTGGTGTGGGGTGTGCAGGCTTTCTTCCAGATCAGTCTAAATGTAGATGCTAGCTTTCTTCTAGAGGTGGCTCCTGGTTACAGCATTTTATGGGGGCTCTGGCAGGTGAAATAAATTCTTTGTCTCTGTAGCGGGACAAATGGGCCTCTTCTAGATGGAGATACTAACAGTAGGTGACAATATTCTTGTTTCTCTTGGTGTGTCCTTCCCTGTTCTGAGTTCTCAAGTTTTCATTTTTTCCCCCCGCTATGGTTGACTGCCAGTGCTCTGTAGTCATGTATTAAAGTACAGCTATGTGCCTGTGTCCCCCATCCTCCATAGGGTGAATAAATGCTGGATGCCTTTATAAGTATACTGTTTATTCTGTTCTCTCAAATATTTTTCTGGTTGGTTGGTTGGTTTTGTTTTATGAGACAGGGTTTCTCTGTGTAACAGCCTTAGCTGTCTTGGAATTTGCTCTGTAGACCAGAGTGGTCTCGAACTCAGATATCTGTAGTGAGATAGTCCTTCTGTAGCACTGACCACGCCCATTGGGGAGTGGAGCGATGGGCAGAGGTGACCTGAGGAAGGAGGTCGGAGGGGGCCAGGAAGGCGCTCTCTTTCTGGCGTGACTCGGACAGGAGAGGATCGGGTTGAATTTCCTGGTGTTCATCTGTCTAGGTTGTAAGTTATTTCTCCCTGAATAAACATCTATTCGGCCTATTTGTTTATCCTGATCCTTATTTACCGCAATATCTGGTGTCAGAAGTGGGATACGAACCCACGCCTCCATTCGGAGACCAGAACCCTAACCCTAACCCTAACCCTAACCCTAACCCTAACCCTAACCCTGAATAAATCTTGGCCTCAAAGATGGCCCCTGCATGAGGTAAATGTTCAATTCTTAGGGATTGGAACCCTGTCTCAGGTAAAACAAAGCACGAGATGGATTGAATGTATAGGACCAGAAGGACAGAGAGGGAGGTTGAGACCATATGTGGCTGATGTAGTGATAAATTTATGGGGTCGTGATCTATTACAGCAATGGAATACACAGATTAACATTCCTCCTGTATTAGATAGGAACCATAGACGACCTCATGATTGTGGAAAGAATACTGTTAAGTACTATACAAGACAGAGACCAAATATCCAGGCAGTACAAAAACAAAATACAAATGCTGAACAAACAGAGGAACCAAAAGCCCTACCTTTAAAATGGCTAACAGAGGAACCTGTCTGGGTAGGACAATGGCCTATGACCTCTGAGAAGTTAGAAGCTTTAGAAAGCCTGGTTCAGGAACAGCTAAATGCTGGACATATTGAGGAATCAACCAGCCCTTGGAATTCTCCTGTATTTGTGATCAAAAAGAAATCTGGTAAATGGAGAATGCTTACAGACCTGAGAGCCATCAATAAAGTTATCCAGCCAATGGGCTCTCTACAGCCTGGAATGCCCTTGCCTTCTTTGATACCCAAAGAATGGCGCCCATGTGGTTAATAAGAACTTCCACTTAAAATTTAGCAAAAGCTTAAAAAAGGGTTTTAGAAACAAAAGAACAGAGACAAGCAAGGTTTCTTGGTAGCAGCATTTTTCTCAGTTGAACTCTGCTTTGCTAGAGACAAGCAGATATTCGCGTGGCTCCTTTAAGGGAAGATTCCTGACTCAGCATAAGCGGCAAAAAACTGCACTTCACAGTTATGGCCATTCACAGTAGATATCTGTCTGCCTCTGCCTCCCGAGTGCTGGGATTAAAGGCGTGCACCACCTCTGCCTGGCATCTGTTTCCTTCTTGTCTGTATTATATAATGATGGAATGAACATTATTTGAGAGAAGGTCTCACCCTGCAGTTCTGGCTGGCCTGGAACTATGTAGACCAGGCTAGCCTCTAACTCAACAGAGATCTGCCTGCCTCCTGAGCACTGTGACTAAAGGCATGGGCCAACAACACAGCAAATGTGTTTTGTTTTTGTTTGTTTGACAGGTCACAGACTTGTTTGTTAGGTCACAAATGTTTAGAAACATTGTCACTTGCAGGAAAGTGAATGTACCACAATGAACTGGGTGATCTTAAGGTTGGAGGTTTTTTGGTCATTTTGTTTTGGGAGGTTGTTTACTACAGACTATCAGATGGTCCTAGAACTTACGAGGCAGCCCAGGCTGGCCTCAGACTCATGGGCAACCTCTTAGTTCTGCCTCTGAGTGCTAGGATTCAGTAGTGGATCAGCATACCTGGCACAGGGAGCTAAGAGTAGAACTTGATTTCAACCTCATGAGACTTAGAGTCATAGGCTACCTGGTACTAAACACTTGAACAGGTTGCCTTTCAAAGGAATCAAACTGGTAGTCATATTTTAGTGACAGATGTTAACTCAAAGGGGAGATTACATTTAGGGGGAGGAAGGCATTACTAATAGTTCCCATGCTAATGGAGTTAGGGCTTAGAAATGGTTATATTGGTTGTTGCCTATATTTTTTACTAAGTTCACATTAATATTTATGCTTTTGGCTTTTGTTTTTAACTTGTGGGGTGTGGGGGGGTGTGAGTTTGGGGGTGTGGGTGTTTTGTGTGTTATTTCTTAAGCTAAAGAAAAGTCTGTATGAGAACCCATTTTTGTTTGCAGTGTATAAGAACTGATGATACAGTAACAAGTTTTGCAAAGATTAATTCATTGCAAATAGGTTTCATGTGTTACAAAACTTAGTACTAAGCCGGGCATAGTGGCACAAGCCTTTAACCCCAGCACTTGGGAGGCAGAGGCAGGTGAATCTGAGTTCAAGGTCAATCTGGTCTATAGAGTGAGTTCCAGGACAGCTAGGGCTACTCAGAAACCCTGTCTCAAAAAAAACCAACCCCTGAAAAACCAAACTTAATACTTCTAGAGGTGGTGGTCCAGGCCTTTAACCTCAGTACTCGGGTGGCAAAGGCAGGTGGATATCTGAGTTTGAGGCCACCCTGGTTTATATATAGTGAAGTTTCAGGACCGCCAAAACTGTAGAGAGACCCTGTCTCAAAGTAAATAAAAAAATATAAATAAATACTAACCTCACAAGACACAATGATAGGAACATGCTGCATGATGCACTGTTAGTAAAAAGCAAAACTGATTTGAGTACAGGGTGACTGATCTTCATACATGTTTGTGAGTGCTGCTGGTTCTCTCCTTCCACCATGCTCTTCCTGGGGATTGGACTCATGTATGTCATCTGGTTTGGTAGCGAGTACCTGATGAGCAAACTCACCGGCCATGGTCTTTACAGTCTGTGTAGGGAATGTTTGCCTCTGAGCATGGTGCACATGTCCTGTTCTCACATTCACTCCTGCCCCCAGATAATCCAGATGTTTATATTTTTCTTTTTACTTATTTAACTTTTTGGTTTTTCTGTGTAGCTTTGTAGACCAGGCTGGCCTCAAACTCGGAGATCTGCCTGCCTCTGCCTCCAGAGTGCAGGGATTAAAGGCATGTACCACCACCTCCTAGCATATTTTTCTTTTTTGTTGTCTCTTTTTTGAGATAGTCTTGTAGTGTAGCCCAACTGGGCTGCAACTTGATATTGTAGACCAGGCTGCCTCAAACTTGTAGTGATCCTCCTGCCTCTGCCTCCCTGGGCTAGGGTTATAGGCCCACTGTGCTTGCTAGAGATGCTTAGAATTTCCATATCCTTTTCTTGTAAGAAGTGGTTCCAGTCTGGAAAGGGCTTTCAAGTAAAATTGATGGGTGAGAGCAGTACAAATAGTTTGTTAGACACAATGCTGCTCTTGTTCCCTAGGGTATTATGACCTGGTTAAGTCCAGTACAGCCCACCTATATCCTGAAACTGGCTACCCTCCCAGAGATGCAACTTGTGATCACCACCGATTTGGATTCAACCATCAAAGTGTGGAACTGTCTTGACAAGGATGCTCTGGCAACCAGCCATATGTCTGATTCCTGTCAGTCGCTGAAAGCTGTCATTACAAGGGATGGCCCAGTCGTCTTGGTAAGTGATCCCCAAATTGCCCTCTTGGCATCCTCTCTGCAAACCCTGAGAGTCAGTAACAGTAGACCAATAAATGATAGCTATATCAATGTCTGTGCCTTTAACTTCATGTACATTTCCTATGCTATCTTTTGTTGCGGCTGTTGTTTGAGACAAGAGTCTCTTTGTGTAGCCTTGCTGTCCTAGAACTTGCTGTATAGACCACCAGGCTGGCCTCCAACTCAGTGATCTGCCTGCCTCTGTCTCTGGAGTGCTGGGATTAAAGGTGTGTATGCCACCCCCAATTTGCTCCTAAACCATTCTTTTAAAAGCAACAATGGGGATAGATGGTTCAGTGGGTAGGAGTGTTTGCTGTGCAAGCATGAAGACCCGGGTTCAAATCCCTGGCACTCACATAAACAGTGGGATGTAGCTAAATATGTCCAACAACCCTAGTGTTGGGACTGGAAATAAAAGGATGACTGGGTCGTGTTGGATGCTAGCCAGCCTAGCTCCAGATTCAATAAGAGACCATTTCAAGGGAATAAGGTGGAGATTGATGGAACAGGAACCTGACACCCTTCTCTAGCCCCCATGTATGCACATCTACACACACACACACACACACACACACACACACGCACACACGCACACACGCACAAATATACATATAATACACAATACACACATGCATGCACGCACAAATAACATATAATACACAATATTTCTAGATGATATCACACCTTTGCTTCTTTCAAATGTTTGTCCAAATTATGAACTCTTCAATAACAAAGACAGTGGAGAGAAAAATGTGCATTTTTCATATCAGATATTATGGAAAAAAAGGATCTTGACACCCCAGTGAGTCCTTGGGGAATACTGTTTTAGGGCTTAGAAAATCTCTATCATTTGTGTTTTTTGAGTCAAATATGATATAGTCCTGGCTGTCCTGGAACTCACTATGTAGACCATGGTGGCCTCAAAGTCACAGAGATCTGCCTGACTCTGCCTCCCAAATGCTGGGATTAAACACCACCACCTGGTCTTATAAAAGTCTCTTTAAAAAAAAAAAAAAATTCATGAGCAGCGAGTCTGGTGGATCTGAGTTAAGGCTAGCCTGGTCCAGGACAGCCAGAGTTACAGAAATCCTGCCTCAAAAATTAATTTTGTGTGTGGGTATTTTCCTGTATGTGTCTATGCATCAGATACAGGCTTAGTGCCCTTAGAGGCAGATTAAGTCACTGAAACCCCTGGGACTAGAGTTACAGTTGTGACCTGCCATGTCAGTGCTGGAGTCGAACCTGTATTTTCTAGAACAAGTGCTCTTAAAAACTGCTGAACCCACCTCTCTAGCCCCAGAAGGTCTCATTTTTGTTACAGATCTATTTTTAATTATGTGACTGTGTGTGTGTGTGTGTGTGTGTGTGTGTGTGTGTGTGTGTGTGTGTGTGTGTGTGCGCGCGCGTGCGTGTGAGTATAGGTGCCCACAAGACAAGTCTAGGAGATTCGAATCCCTTGGAGCAGACAAGGATAGCCACCCAGGGCAGACACAGTACAGGCTCTTACCCACTGAGCCTAGAAAATCTTACTGTGTGGGATCATCCAGGGGTCTGTGAGGCAGGCTGGTGCTCAGACCTGCACGGGCTGCCGCCTCCTTGCTTCAGGGTTCCCTCCTGATCTGCTACTGGTGCTTTGATTTCAGGCCGGTGGCACTTCCGGTGACCTTTTCACATATAGGATTCCCGACTTACTGCTTATTTCTAGAGTCCATGCAATGGACGTCCCCATTAACCAGCTCTACTGCTCTCCTCACAACAAGTGGGTCTTTCTGAATAAGAAACAGCCCCGCGTCTTGCCAAAGGTAGGTCAGTTCTAGCGACTTGAACCTCAGGGTGGGTGGGAGAGTCAAGGGAGGTCCAGCCCTCAGGGAGGATCAGGCAGGCTGATCCTCTACCGCAAGCAGAAGCCATCCCTACAGTCAGGAAGTAAAGCTCTGGGAAGCAGGGGTGCCCAGACACAATGGCAAATGTCTATTAGTAAATGGTGTCCTTGAAACCAGCTCTGCCAAAGGCAGGGGAAGTAAGGGTCCCTGGGAACCCTCTTTACTTCGCTGGCCCTGAACTCACTGAACTACATACACTCATGCCTTCCCCAGGAATCCACCTCTGGTGCTGGATTTCAGACATGTGCCACCAAGCCTGCTGGTCAGACGTACCATGGCCTGGTGGCACTCTCAAGAGCTAGGCACAATCCGGAAGACTTCCCCACCCCACCCCCATCCCCTGAAGTTTTCCTGCTCTCTGTCGAACTTTGTTTGGAGAGTCTCTAAGCACGGATGCCTGACTTACCTCAGGTGTGACCCTTGACACAGTTCCTGCAGAAGCTTTCCCCCTCCCTGTGCAGGGAACCTTAAGACAGGAGCTGCTGTTTAATGCAATGTGCCCCAGCCACTGTCCCATCCCCAGCATTTCCTTTACTCTGAAATAAAGCTGATTTGTAACCCTGAAGCAGTCTCCTGGAAGGCTATTTCTGGCACGCTCACAGGCCAGACAAGGCCCTGCTTGCCCTTGTGGCCTGGTGGCCAATGGACTGTGGGAAGAGAGGATCCACAGATACCAATGCTCTTTATACTCCCTTCCCTCTGAACTCCCTGTTCTGTGGTGCCTAGTTCATAGGTACTGTGAAGCAGATGGCCTGCTCAAAGGCCAAGTGCTTCTTCAGGGCCCATGCATATTTATTTGCCTTTGTACACTGCTGTACTTTCAGAGCCAGTCTGGGTTACAATAAGATAGTCTCAGTGCCTCCTCATTAAAACAAACAAACAGCCAGCCCCAGACAGGAAAAAATCTACTTCTGTCTGTCTGAGGAGTCTGCTGTGGGATACTCTTCACTGACTTACTGTGGGATACTCTTCACTGACTTACTGTGGGATACTCTACTGACTTACTGTGGGATACTCTACTGACTTACTGTGGGATACTCTACTGACTTACTGTGGGATACTCTACTGACTTACTGTGGGATACTCTTCACTGACTTACTGTGGGATACTCTTCACTGACCTACTGTGGGATACTCTCTCTGCAGGTGTTTTTCATGGACTGCTTACTGAGGCCAGCAGAGTATCCCACCCCTGTGTTCTGTGTCATCTCATTTACATTATGCATCAGAGGCTTCTGGACCCCACGGAGGGAAGACCGGATAACGCTGATGTACCAGAGAGGTGCCTATAGAACCTCAGGATTTGCCACATTCGATATAGAACTGGAAAAGACAGAGAACAAAATAAATGTTGAAGGTAAACCTCACCACCTTAGTCATTTCACAAGCCAGGCATAATGGCATAAACAAAAAACACAACTCAACTGGGTGGTGGTGGTGCTCGCCTTTAGTTCCAGCACTCAGGAGGCAGAGGCAGGTGGATCTCTGAGTTGGAGGCCAGCCTGATCTACAGAGAAATTTCCTGGACAGGTTCCAAAGCTACAGAGAAATCCTGTCTCAAAAAACAAAACACAAAAAAAGAAAAAAAAAAAAAACAGTCAAACAAAACCAAAAACCCCTATATTATGGGGCCGGCCAAAATACTTACAGCAGTGGTTCTCAACCCTGTGAGTCATGACCCCTCCGGCAAATCTTTATCTAAAAAAATATTTACATTGTGCCTCTGTGGTGAAGCGTCTGTGGTGACATATTTATGATTTAATAAAGATTTCCTGAAGTATTAGAAAGCAAAGCCTGCAACAGTCGTTAGCTATAAAATCTAGGCAGTGGTGGCACACACTTTTATTCCCAGGATTTGGGATGGGTGTCTGTGAGTTCAAGGCCACCCAGGATCATCCCTTTTGGTCTGAGGTAGAGGTAAGAGCTAGTGGCCTACTGCTTTGCTTTTTCTGATCTTCAGCTTGAAACTTGAACCCCAGTATCTTGTCTCTGGGTCTTTTATTATTTGTGTCACATGCCTCAAAACAGCAAAATTAATTATTTGGTAGCAATGAAAATAATTTTATGACTGGGAGGGGTCACAACATGAGGGACTGTATTAAAGGGTCACATCATTAGGAAGGTTGGGAACCATTAGCTTTAGAGATAAGGGACACTCAACTGCCACGGCTGACAACTTAGTTTAATTCCTGGGGCCCCACATGGAGAAAGGAGAGAACTGAGTTCCTCAAATTGTCTCCCAATTGCCATATGTGTTTGTGGCATGAACATCTACACAAACCTAATCAATCATGTGAAAACAATTTTTAAAAGAAATCCTATTTTCTCCTCTCTTTCCCACAAGTACTCATATAAAGCCATAATGCATGACTTTGGTTTTTTGTTTCTTGTGTTTGGACACAGGGTTTCTCTAGAGCCCTGGCTGTCCTGGATCTTGCTCTGTAGATCAGGCTGGCCTCAAACTCACAAATCCACTGAACTCTGGGATTAAAGGCTTTTGTAAAGGGAACAAAAGGGCTCCTTAGCTGAATGTGAACCCATGCCTGGTCACACTCAGTGGACGCTGTACCCTGCTCTTTTGGGCAGCATGTTTCCATTTATATCCTGTATTAGGGGCTGAGTTCTAATGTCCTTTCCTAGTACAGGTGTCTTCCCAATGATTGAGCTACTATTGAGTGTCCACATTGTTTCTGTGTTGCAGCCTGCCTTTCCATGATAAAGACATGGATTTGTTGGTCCACTGGACTATCTTCATGGTCCCATATAAGGGTGTACTTTTCACTCAACAATAAGGATTTTTTTTTTGCTCTGACTTAAATGATTCAAAAATTGCTTCTGTATTTTGTCTGTGTTTTTGTATGAAACAGCACGTGCAATAGCAAGCTTCAAGTTGCCACATCAAATAGAGAGCCCAGAATGGATGGGAGTCAGTGATAAGAATGTGATTGTGTGTTCAAGTGGGGCATCTTTATTAGTGTACAGCATGACGGGCCTCCAGCTGCAGATGTTTCGGGACTACCCGGAAGAGATCATACGGCTACTGGTGGTATGTTTGGGACGCTTCCTTTCCAATGGGCTCTTTTGATTTTGTTGTTGCTGTTTTTGTCTTTTTGAGACAGGAGTTCTCTATGTTCCCTTAGTTATCCTGGAACTCTCTGCAGACCAGGCTAGCCTCAAACTCGGAGATCCTCCCTGCCTCTGCCTCCCAAGTACTTGGATTAAAGGCATGCAGTACCACCACCTGGCTAAATTTCTACTTTTTAATGTATTACTGTTGGGGCATGTGCCAGGACATGCAGTGGCCAGAGGCCAACCTTCTGGAGTTAATACTCTACTCTCCTTACACCCTTACGTGGGCTCAAGGGAGGGAGCCAAGAGTGTCAGCTTGCTCAGCAAGTGCCCGTACCTGATGGCCCACCTCATTGGCCCTTTTCCTTGTATTGTGACCCGACCTTGACTCTGTCCACTCACATCTGGATGTCCTTTGAAGAATCCCGTGTACGTCATTGTCACATTTATTGACGGCTGTTTGGAGGTGTACAAGTGGGAGGAGAAAAGTCATTACCTCATGAGGTGTTACCGCCTGCAAAACCTAAGACATATGGGGCCACAAAGGTAAGCTCTGCTCTGCGGTTTAAACTTTACCTTAAAAAAAAAACACAAATCTCTGCATAAAAATTTATTTAAAAAAAATTGCCAGGCGTTGGTGGCACACACCTTTAATCCCAGCACTCGGGAGGCAGAGGCAGGTGGATCTCCTAGTTCGAGGCTAGCCTGGTCTACAGAGCAAGTTCCAGGACAGCCTCCAAAACTACACAGAGAAACCCTGTCTCGAAAAAAACCCAATAATAATAATAATAAATGAGAAAAATTGAAGTTTCTGTAAAAATATGACTAGCTGGGTTTATGATCTCAGCATTACATAAAACCAGGAATTGTGCTCATGTGTGTGTGTGTGGGGGGGTGGGTTTGAGACCTCTTATATAACCCAGGCTGACCTTGTTATGTAGCCAAGGCTAGCCTAAAGCTTTATGTACTATATCCAAAGCTTGCTTTGAACTCCTGACCTCTTCTGTCTTACTCAGTCTCAGTCTTTTGTTTTTTGTTTTGTTTTTAGTTTGGTTTGGTTTTTCGAGACAGGGTTTCTCTGTGGCTTTGGAGGCTGTCCTGGAACTAGCTCTGTAGACCAGGCTGGTCTGGAACTCTCAGAGATCCACCTGCCTCTGCCTCCCAAGTGCATGTGTCATCACTACCTGGCTAGTCTCAGTCTTTTAATCGGTATTAGTTTATTCTTTCAGGATTTGAAAGGGGCTTTACTGTGTCCTGCCTTGTTGGGAGAACTATTGTCATTATAGTCTGTCATTTTTGTAGATCCAGGTGTAATATCCTTCTGATTTCAGTTTGTTTAGTGTTGTGTGTGCCCTCCCTCCCACCACAGGGCTTCTCTGTGTAGCTGTGGCTGTCCTGGAACTCACTCTGTAGGTCAGGATGGCCTCAAACTCTGAGATCTGCCTGCCCCTGCCTTCTGAGTGCTGGGATCAAAAGCATGTGCCACCATCACCCAACTTTTGTTCAGTTTTTAGAAGTTTGGTTATGTTGATCTTGTGTGAATGTTTGGAATTTAATGTGCTTGGGCTTGATCAGCTTTTGACTCTGTAAATTTACCAATTTGGGGAAAGCATTTTGTTTTTATGTGGGGGGAGTCAACCCCAGGCCTTGCACAGGTAAAGTATGAATTCTGCTAATGAAATTTACCCTAAAACTTTAGGGCATTTTGCTGTGTTCTCAACATAACCTGGTTAGGGGAGGGGAAATGGAGGAGGACGACTAACCTATCCTGCTTGAGTCTCCTAAATTGATGTGACTTAAAGCATGTGGCATCACACCCAACTCCTCTATTGCTAAGCTTAGATACCCAATCAAAGAACCCAGATCAGTGGCGGAGGTCTATCCCAGAAGGCTGGGATCAGCACTCATACTATGAAGGACCTTTGCCAATGTGTGCAGTTATTTACACACAAATACTGAGATGGCTTAGCAGTTAAGGCAATTACCACCTATTCTGACAGCCTGAGCTTGAGTCTCTGGAACTTTCTTGGAGAGAACTGATTTCCACAGGTTATTCTGTCTCACACACACACACACACACACACACACACACACACACACACACACCATGAATAAATAAGTAAATATTTAAAAGTTCTAAACAAACTTAGGAATGTGATTAAAGAACCGTTATCAGTTAGTATGGCGCCTCCCGTTTGTTCACTGATGCTTTGTTTGTTTTTCCCCTTTGGCAGCATGATTACCAAAACACTGTGTGACAATATGAGCATAGCTCGAGTGGTGACAAAAGGTGCACACTGCTGCTTTCTGATGGCGTATGTTTTGAAACACTGCTCTTGAGAACTGAGTGGGCTGAGTCCTCTTCCTCACTATAATAAACCTCTATTTGCAAGGCTAGACTGGTGATTTTATAGTGTTGTTAAGGAGTGAGGAGGTCAGATGTGGTGGCGCACACCTTTAATCTCAGGATTGGGAGGCAGAGACAGGTGGATCTCCTAGTTCGAGGCTAGCCTGGTCTATAGAGCTAGTTCCAGGACACAGAAACTCTGTCTCAAAGCCCCACCAACCCCCCAAAAAAATTGAATTGGGCTTTATAGACTTTGAGGGTTAGAATCAATATGATGGAGTATAGAGGCAGGAACAGTTAAGAGATCACATCCTGATCTCCAAATGGAAGGCAGAGGTGCACTGGGAATGTCATGAGGCTTTTGAAACCTCAAAGCCTGTAGCACACCTAATACTTCTAAAGTAGTTCCAACGAGGGACCAAGTATTCAAACAATTGAACAGGGGTGGGGAGCATTCTCATTCAAATTAGCACACATACATACACACATGTACACCATACACATACATAAATTATTAAAAATCCAAATATTAAAAGGGGATTGGTAGTGCATGCCTTTAATCCCAGCACTTGGGAGGCAGAGGCAGAGGCAGGTAGATCTCCTAGTTCAAGGCCAGCCTGGTCTACAGAGTAGTTCCAGGACAGCCTCCAAAGCTACACAGAGAAACAAATAGCTAAGCCACTTGGGAGGTGAAAGCAAAGGGTCCCCAACAATATGGCGGTCAAGGCTAGCCTGGGTCACATGATACCCTTTCTCAGAAGAAATAAGACCAAAGATGGGAGAGCTGGCTTGGCAGCTGAGACCATAGTAATGAGGGAGTGAACTCTGACCAAGTCAGATTTATTGCCAGGTGCCAATCAATAAAGAAAGTACACTCGATACAGAATAAGGCTGGAACACTGTCCCTGAGCTGCTGGCTCCTCTAGTTCCCAGTGGAGATCTGAAAAGTCTGGCGAGGGGCAGCAAGTCCTCCTTAGTCCAAGAGCACGTGATCTCCCATTCTTACTGGGTCACATCACATATCCCCAGAGAAGACAGCATCCATTGGGCCAAGTGGCCCCAGTACATTGGCTATCTGACTGAATTCCCACAACACCATAGCTGCTCTTCCAGATAACCCGGGTTCATTTCCTAATACCCGCATGGATGCTCACAACTGAAAATCCAGTTCCAGGGTACCCAGTGTCCTCTCCTGGCCTCCAAGGGCCCTATATGCTTCTGGCTCACGGACATAACATTCAAGCAAAGCAAGGCCCCTGGTTGTCTAGGGAAGGATGGCACATGCCTGCAATCCCAGCACTCAGGAGGCTGAGCCTGACCACAGGGAGTTCAAGGCAGCCTTGAAGAATACAAAATCTCTGAGTTGGGGAATGAGAATAATGCGAAGAGAAAAAAGCAGGCAAAACAATGTCTTCATAGAATTTTAAGGAATTCCACCAGGCGGTGGTGGAGGTGCACGCCTTTAGTCCCAGCACTCGGAGGCAGGAGCAGGCTGATCCAAGTTCGAGACTAGCCTGGTCTACAAAAGCTTTTTCCAGGACAGGTTCCAAAGCCACAGAGAAACCCTGTCTTGAAAAACAACAAACAAAAAAACACTGTTAACAAAAGAAAAGTCCAAGGAACTTCACAGTGAAACTCAAGGTTTCTACCAAATTGGAGTTCATATCAGAACGTGGACATCAGACTCTTAGAAAAGTAATATACTCCTGCAGACAAAGTGGCAGACTCTTTCCCCTTGGAAAAGGGAGATGGTGGTGGCTGACTCAGAACAAAACCAGAAATGACTCTCCAAAAGGTTCAAACAGTAAGGATGCCCCCACTCCTGGCACTGGGCTTTCTGTCAGTTGAGGTCCCAGCATGATTGACGTGTCACAAATTTGAGGAAGGTTTCCTGAAAAGATAATTTGAAACAAGGATTTAAAAACAACAGCTGTACTACTGGGATGGCTTCAGTGGGTGAGGGCACTTGCCAGGCAAGCCTGATGATTTGGGTGTTCAATCCCTGGAGCCCACATGGAAACAGATCTAACTCCCAAAGCTGGCATGAGTGAGGCATTTGCATGCTTACACACACACACACACACACACACACACACACACACACACACACACACACACACGTGGGGGGATTGGCACACAAAGAACTAGAGAAACCACAGATGCAGAAAGCAAACCTATTGAGTTTGCATCTATGTAGACATTATTGAAGTGTAGCCTATGATGTCCACTTCTGATCTGCTAGTCCAGGCCTGATCCAGGTTCTTCCTCAGTCACAGAAGCCCTGTCAGGAGGCATCCTCCAGTGGTAACTAATCAAGCCTTCCCTTCCCTATGTGATTATATTCTGCTAACAGAATTAATCTATGTCATTCCCTTTGTTAGAACTCTTTGACCAGATACCATTTAGTGGCACTTAAAATAGCATAGGGAGGGGTTGGAGAGATGGCTCAGCAGCTAAGAGCATTTTCTGACCTTACAGAGGACCTAAGTTCGATTCCTAGCACCCACATGGTGGCTCACAGCCCGATGTACCATCTATAATTCCAGTTCTCAGAGATCAGCACCCTTTTCTGGCTCCTCTGGCATAAGGCATGCATACATATGGTACACATACATACATTTAGACAGAACACACATCAATTTCAAAAAATTAAAATCACATACCCCTAAGATTAACTCTGAAAAGGCTCCTGACTTTAAAAAGCATAAGTGAATGGTTTGAAGTCATAGATCCGAGTACACTGGCCTGTGAGTATGCACAGGGAGGCCAAGAGCAGTGTTGGACTTTCCCTCTTTTGCTCTACAGCTTAAAGAACCGTTTATACATGTACCGTGGGCGGGGTGCATGCTGCAGTGCATGCGTGGGAGTCAGAAGACAACACGCAGGAGCAGGTTCCCTCCTACCCCGTGGGTCCCTGAGATCGATCCCCATTCATGAGGCTTGGTAGCAGGCACTTTCACTGACTGAACCTCCTTGGCAGCCCCTCTGCCTTTTTTCCTTGGGAGTTTACCCTCTCTCCTTCGTGGCTGGCCAGCAAACCCCTAGGACCCATTCGTGTCCACATCCACCCCCCACCCCACCCCGCAGCACTGGAGCTGTAGACACACACTGCTGTGCCCAGCTCTTACAAGGCTGCTGGGGTTTGAACTCTGGCTTTACTCCCATCAGCCAGCACTTTACTCAAGGAACCAATTCCTAGCCCCACACTTGACTAGTGTACTGCATACAGTAAGCATCTCACAGGAAAAGTCCTTATTTACATAAACTCTGTGTTAAAAGCACTTTGGGACAGATCTGGACCTGTTCCTAACACAGCGTGAATTGTAGTCACCTTTCCCTAGGCACAGAACTGGCTTCCATTATTTCAGTTGCCCATGATAAACAATCTGAAAATCTTTTTCGTTTTTTTTGTTTGTGACAGGGTTTCTCTGTGTAGCTTTGTAGGCCAGGTGGCCTCTAACGCACATAGATCTGCCTGCCTCTGCCCCCTGAGTGCTGGGATTAAAGGTGTGCACCACCACTGCCCTGCACAATCTGAAAATCTTAAATGAAAAGTTCTGAAGCTGGGCTGAGCCTACAACTTAGTGGTGAAGAGCTTGCCTAGCATACTCGAAACCCCGGGTTTGATTCTGTCACCACATGCAATATTCACAAGTTTAAAAATTCTTAGATTGGAGGTTGGAGAGATGGCTCAGCAGTAAAGAGCACTTGCTGCTCTTGCAGACAACCTAGGTTCAATTCCCATCCCCAACCCCCCTACCCCCCCTCATAGAGTCTCACAATAGTCCAGAACTCCAGTTTCAGAGGATGCTATCCAGTGCCCTCTTCTGGCCTCTGTGGGCACTGCATGTATGTGGTGCAGGCAAAAACTCATAAAATAAAAATCTTTTACCTTCTGAGCATAATTAATCCCAGCACTCAGGAGGCAGAGGCAGGTGGATCTCTGAATTCAAGGCCAGCCTGGTTTATAGCAAGTTCCAGTACAGCTAGGGCTATGTAGGGAAGTCTTGTCTCAAAAACAAAACAAAAAATAAATAAATCTTAAAAAAAAATTGCAGGGTTGATGTAGTAGAACAAGCTTTTAATCCCAGTACTTGGGAAACAGAGGCATTTGGATCTCTGAGTCCAAGGCCAGCCTGTTCTACAGAGTGAGTTCCAGGACAGCCTGGGTTACACAGAAAAACCTGTCTCAAAAACACATAAAAAATAAAGTATCCTATGTTATTCTCATTACTGTGACAAAATATCTGATAAAAATCAACCTAAGGGACACTTTATCTGGGCTAATGGTGTAAGGGAGAAGCAGTCTGTCAGAATGCAATCATGTTGTCACGAGTGTGACGAAGGTCAGTGTATCTATATTCAAGAGGCAGAGGTGAACACTCTACTTCCTTGTCCCTTCTTAGTGGATAACCGCAGGCATGGGACTGCGCTACCTGAATTCAGGGTGGGTTTCCCTCAGTAACACCTCTCTGGAAACAACCTAGACTTGCCGGGAGCCGTGTCTCCTAGGTGATTCCAAGTCCAGTCAGGCTTGGACATTAGCCACCACCCACACCATTCTAAGTGGTGTGTTGATAACTTCCTCAGCTCCATCCAGGGCACGAATCATCCCAACATACGCCCGCTCCATACACTTCCCATTCAATAGTGGCTTAGTGGCTGCCTGCCTTCTGGGACAAACCGTCAGAGTATCAGTGTAATGAACACAGCTGAGATCATGGGAGAGCAGTGCTTTCCTCAAACAGGAAGTGTGGGGATTTATTCAGGGCACTGTACATATTCACACCGGGAGGCAGGGTCAGGCACATCCTTGAGCATCCTCAATCCAAAATCCCAATCCAGGACAGACTCAGTTGTGTATTTCTGGGTGAGGTCAGCCCAAGGAACACATGTTCAAAGGGTAGGGAGTTAAACAAGACTTCTGGTTTTTCCCAAAGAGTTTTTGCTGAAATAAAACGGACATTTTTGGTGCTGTCTTGCTTCCTTGGTA